TATAAATAGGCTTGTGGTTTCATTCATTTGAATCATCCAAAAGTGTGATCAATCAACCTTGAGAGTGTTGAAACACAACCAAGAAAGAGTTGTGGAGTGTTTGAGAGTTTTTTGTTTAGAGTTTGTAAATCTCTTGTGTTTTTATTCTTGTGAGTAATAGAAACTTGTTTTTTCTCTCAAATTATATTTATGATCTTGGGATGATACCACTACAGGTGTTGGTGTGGGGTTTGATCCTCGTGCATCCGGGGACTATAAGGTGGTCAGATATCAGTTATTCGTTTACGAAGGATACAACTATCGAATCCAGTCCGAGGTGTAACAGGTGTTGTCCCTCCGAACCGGTTCCTGGAAGGAGATTCCGTATCCTTATGATCCTGAGTTCAAGCCCATTGAAAACCATGCTCTTCACATAAATGACTTCTATTACTGGCTAGCTCGTCATCTTAACTCGGCGACTTACGCTATTATTCCGTTCGACTTTGCTAACGAGAAGTTTCCGCCTGCTATTATCCTTATGCCGAAAAGAATAAGAATGTGGGTCAGTGTGAGAGTTGTTCCTGCTGAGTTTCACGGTTTGCTCGCGGCTGTTGCTTACAATTTGGATAAATGGGGGACGAAGAAGCCTTGTTTTGAGATTTGGGTGTGGGAGAATGACGATTGGTTCTGTGTGGACAAGTTTGAGGTTCCTGCTGATCGTGATGCTCTAGTGTCTCATTTATTTTTAACATTTATTTACGTAAATTAATTATTCCTTTTCATAAATAAAAAAAAAAATCAATAAAAATATAAAATATAAATTATATTTAACCTTACAGAGATTGCAAATGATAGTTTTAATCGTTCGGGTTCTAAACTGATATATTTTATTTTTCAAACCCCGGATTAATAGATGATCCATCTTTTAAAATCTCAAATTAATTTAAGCTAAAATGTTAAATTGATTAGTTTTAGATTTCTTAAGTCGTTGATAGAATACCCGAATGGATAAATTCCTATTAGTTATTGATAAATAAATATTAAGTAATATAAAATTATATTTATTAAAAACTCGTGCATCAGACGGACTCACGTACTAGTTCTTTGTGTAAAATAACTTAAAGGCTAGGTATATATCGATCTATTGTACTTTTTGAACAGACACATACATACTATAAGACTATAAAATACAAAAATAGCATACTTTTATTTATATTCTTTAAAAAATATATTAGTAGATGAGAATGTATATATTTTGAAAAATAACTACGTGAGGATTTAGGTCAATACAGCCTCACCTATATTCAGTCGTCCCTTTAAATTGAAAATTATGAATGATTAATCTTCAGAAGCGAGCTACTTAGGACAATATACTGATATGAAATCAAATCACTATGAATGGCGAAGAGCCCCAAACAGAGCACTAATAATTGGGGGAAATGATGGCCCGTTACGAAATTATTTCGTCTGGATTTGTAACCGTTAGATCATTATGTAACCGTCAGGATAGTTAATCTAACGATTACAAACACCGACGAAATGATTCCGTTTGTTAATGGAAGTGTTAGTGGCGCATGTGTTAAACCGCGTAAAAAGAAAAAAGGCTCCGTTTGGGACTTCATTTGCGTGTGTAGAGAAAGAAAGGCATAATTATTATCCATATGGGAATATAATCAGCTTTTTTTTACCCTTTTCACGTAATAGCCATTTTATGAGGCAGACAACACAGACGTGAAAAAAAAAAAAA